GGGCAGCTGTGCTGTCGATACATATGAAGCCCATGAGCTTATTTAAGAGATTTATTTTTTATATTGATTTGGAAAAATTGTTAACTTCTTTAATAGGGTGTTTATGTGGTCCGCAATAGTTTTCCTCAACAATAAAATTATATCATGATGCTTCTTGGGCCCTGATGTGGTTTGAATCAGTAGTCCGGATAACCTAATTATAGCACACGAAATAAACCCCCTATAATGGTTCCAGTCAGTGCCGATAGGGGCCCTAATATTATACATACACAACATAACCTTCGATTCTTGAAAATTTATTACAATAAAAATATTGTCACAGAATATTGTGAATGATTTAAAAAATCAAGGAAAGAATGAAAAAATGTCCTAGAATTATTCTAGTACTAGTATGGCAACGGTGTTTTTAAATTTTAACCAAAAGTCATTTATTCAGTTTATTGCAAAGTACGTGAAAAATTAATTGACTGCGCTCGAAAATTCTGTAGAGTATGCGCACTGTGCGTTTCTTCCCAAGGTTTCCACTTTTGTATTAGTTTCAAGTGAGAGTTGCTGTTCTTTTATGAAAACAAATAGTGTTAATATATATTTGTGTTCAAGAACTGACTTCCAAAAAAATATTTTTTATTTTGTGTTTCTCACATAACAGAATGATACATATGACTGAGTTTTCAGTGAAATGTCATGTCTCACAGGTTGTGAAAAATTTCGCCATGTAGTATATAAGAACGATTCGATTCGTACTTTTAAGTGTTAAGTGTGTGTCGGTGTGTGTTTATATTTAAGTTATACGCGAATACATGTGTATTATAGGTTACTTCGCGAGTGAGAAATTATTTTTTTCATTTTACAGATTTTTTTGACCGTCAGCAATGAAATTCTCAAGCAAGGTGCTAGAAATTTTCATTGACTGCTTTTAGAACTCTCCTGCAAAAGTCCTAGAATTTTTCTAGTACTTTGTGTCCTATCCAAAAGTCAAGCACTGAGGCAATGAAAATTTCACGTACTTTTTTTCCGTGTATACAACTTTTCTCTCCATAACTAAAGTTATGGAGAGAAAAATTGTATAGAGGTTATATCGGCAACATATTTTAAGAATTCAGAGGTACAAATATTTCAAGGACGCTAATAGGGCCCTAATGGGGGCTAGGGCATTAAAAGGGGTTTCTGCTTCGGGCCACATTAGTTTTCCACTAACGGACCCTACAATATTTTGCGTAACGAAACTGGTGGGGTCCCTAGCAATTTGACCTATTTGGCCCCTAATATTAAAAGGGTAAACTTCTACGGCCCCTAACAGTACCACATTGCAATTTCTACACGGGACCTAATCTAATTCGCCTAACATACAGAGAAAGTAACGCACACTGTAATCGACGGAACGCATATACAATTCATATCGAGAAAATAAGTCTGTGTTCTTATATACTAATCCAACAATTGTATTTCCGCTTTGAAGAAAATTTGTATGCATTTTAATGCCGTTTTAAACAATATTTGTTTGTTATACAAAATTGATAAAATTAATTAATTACTTAAAATTAATAAGGTCAATTTTTGAAATGAACAGAATTAATTTTTATCAAACAGGATTCTTGTAATAAATTATAAAAATGTTTGACATAATTATAGAAAAATATAATATTATTATTATTTCGTAAAATTATTTATTCTTTTTATTTAATGTTTATTTAATTATTTAATTTAATTAAATAATATTATTTAAATAATTTAATTATTATTTTTTTAATATAAAAAAAAATTTTACACTAATAGAAGTCATTTAAAATTTTTTGCATTAATTAAAAATAATTATATAAATATTAGGAAATTTAAAAAAATCTTCGTAAATCTAATTCAAATATTTAAAAAATTTCAATTTAATTTCAAATCTTAATTAAAAAAATAATTACACTGAGAAAAATATTAATGGTCAATATCTGTGACAATGAAATATATAAACATTTTGTTCAAATTTAAAAGACTTGTTCAAACATAACCTCACATTTACAGATAAAAGAGAACCAGGTGGAATGACGGCGGCCATTTAACTCGAACACATGTATAATATTAGATTAAGTGGTTATGTGTGACTACACGAACAGCGGTACTCGTTTGTATGCGTGCAGTTCTGATAGTTTGACATTCACTTTTTCAACAACTATTTTTTCTCGTACACCATAAACGAGTTTCTCTTAACTTGACTATTAAATGTTGAAAAAAATAAAACATGTATTATTATCAAAACTTCTAATAAATAAGAAATTTCGTCTATTTGGGGCGTTTCATATGAAAACGACATATGATGTTTTAGATTTTTCTCATATTATCAGAATTGAGAGTGATTAGGTAAAATTTTTTTATTTTGAAAATAACTTTTTCTTGCTTTGAGTTACAAAAAATTGTTCTGAACATTTTTTGTGCTCAAAATACTAAACTTTCAGAAAAAAATTACTAAAAATAAAAATGATAAATTTTAGGTTAATTTGTTTAAACAATAAAATTTGTTTTTAGTATTTAAACCCTTTCTCCCTGTTTCTCAGGTCTAAAAAAAATCATAAATAATGTTGATAATATAATAAAACTTTCCTAAAATTTTTAGCTTGGCGTTATTTTTTGTTTTCGAGAAAAAAATTCCTAAAGATTACAGTGCAAGCGCTCCGCTCATCGAGGAGCTGTCCACCAGGTGTACAAAAGCGCCAATATTGGAGTTATTATTGAATAAGGATATAGAAATGTTAATTTATACATTTAATATATTTTAAATATTTAATAATTTAACAAAAAACGGTATGCTGCCCCCGAAAATAGTGCAATCCAAGACGAAAAAAACCCATATTTTAATTTTAAAATACGTCAACTGCAACTCCAGAAAAAAATTTGTTAATTAAGCAGTACTAAAAAATTCAATTGTTAATAACTTTAAAAAAAAAATTTTTTTTTATTAATATTTTCAGGGATTCTTTTTAACCATATTAATAGTAAAAAAACTATTTTGGTTCAAAAAGAAAATTTTTTAGTTTTAGGTGATCCGTTTGAGAAATTCTGACCCGTAAATATTTAGAATATTTAAATTTAGAATTTTTTTTAATTGAATTAAAAATCAAAAAGTAATGTAGGAAATTACATGTAATAATTTACAATTTCTAGTATATTTTTATATACCTAATAATTCAACTAATTAATTAAAAATTATAAAATGTTATTAAATAATTTTGTATTGTATTCACTTTGTTATGTACATATATATTATAATGGATACAGAAATTTTCTAAAAATATTTTTGATTGAATTTTTTAGTGCTTAATAGAAATTTTATATTAAGGGGACATTCCAGTTCAAAATGTCAATAAAATCGATTTTTTTTGTTTTTATTTTCAGATTTCTTATAGTGTCAAGAATACTCTCCTAAAATATTATTGCAAAATTCGAAGTAAAACAAAAGTTATACATCCTTATTCTTCGTCATGTCAAAGATGTTTTCGTATGCGGATAAGCAATCGAATGATTTAAATGTTTTCTCATTTGCATTTTTTAAAAAAGACAAACAAAAATGTATTTGGTGTTGCTGATCACAAATTAGATATCAAATTTTAAAAATTCAAAATGGCGGATCCAATATTGTGGAAAAGAAAATTTTTTTATTTTAATGTTTTTTTTCGTTTAATTTTTTTTTCGTCCACCATATTGCATCCGCCATTTTTAATTTTGAAAAAATGATGTTTTATTCGTAATCAGCGACCCCAAAAACCCCCCGTAACGATTTTCAAGCAAATCCAATGATTTTGAAAAAATATGTCCGCCATATTGTATCCGACATTTTGAATTTTAAAAATCTGATTCCACATTCGTAATTAGCGATCTCAAAAACCCCCGAGTAACGATTTTCAAGCAAATCCGATGATTTTTTAAGAAAAATTTCGAAACTTATGAACAAAAACTTTAAATGCGTTTTTCTTAAAATGTCTTTTTTTGATCTGGTAAGAGTGATATCTCGAGTTCTTCTGAAGCGATTTTAAAAAATCAAACGGCTTTTCATTCAGCGTCATCATGCCTATAAGTGGAACCTCAAAAACTGGAAAATTTCCAACTCCCTTTTTTTATAAGAGAAATTCTGAATTAAAACACCTTTTTTTTGCATATTTTGGGAAAAAGTACTTTAAAAAAAGGGGGGGAAGAAAATTCCACTTTTTTAAGGTACCACACCTAAAGAAAGATCTAACGAAGAGAATGTCTTTTCGTTTTTGGTTTTATCTGTTATAGAAAGTTTGGAATCGATCTTACCACCGAAAATGGGCATTTTCGAAAATGGCGTATATCGCCGCAATTTTGAAATAAAAATGAAAAATTTTCTTTTTACAAATTCTTAAATAAATTATTTATTACATGTAAAAGAAATTTTTTAAATAAATGTCATAGTTATTTGAATAAAATATATTAAAAAAGCCTTCTTTTTGCCTGTTTTGAACTGGAAAGTCCCCCTAATTGCATGAAATAAATGTGTTAACTGCAGTAAATCTTAATATTAAACAAATTTTCAGTATTTTAAAAGAATTAATTTGTCTAGTTTTTCTACAGAACCGTTGACCAGAATTTATAAAGTTGGGCTATATAATAACTTGATGAAAAAAGCGTGTCACTCTATTCCAGTTATTAGCCAGTTGGCTAGTAAAGTAACTAGACAATTTCAAGCGCGACTGGACAGTTCCTTTATAATAACTAGGACAAATTTCTTCTAGGCTCGTTCTCCACTCGTTGCACAAAATATATACATACTATCATCAAGACTACACTAAGAAACTTTTTGTATTTTGTCAATATTTCTAACACTTTATGTTTAATCATTTATATTGATTATTTTGTAGAAGAATAAAATTGAACCTAAGTAATTTTAAATTGTAACCTAAAAGTCGAATTTCTCAAAAAGGGCACTTTTTATTTAAAATGTGTTAAAAATGACTGTGTAACCGAGAAATGAATTAATATTGTTCTATTTGCAGAACTACCTTTGAAAGGAGATAGTCGCTGTCCGGCCTACGAAGGGCAAAAAATATGTCCTAATAGAGCACCAGGCTGTAATAGCGATTCTGAATGCCAGACGTCTAATGAGCGTTGCTGTAAGACTGCCTGTGGCAATAAATGTGTTATGGGAGAGCTGACAGGATGCGAACATTTAGCCCTTGCTGCTACCAATAGATTAAACGCTTTAAGTCCAACTAGAAAAAATCAAACAATACCAAAATGTGATAACGTCACTGGTGAATTTGAAAAAATACAGTGCAACGCTGAAGATACTTATTGTTGGTGTGTTAATTCATTTGGAGAAGAAATACCTGGAACTTCTGTTACCAACAAATCATTTATTGATTGCGACAATCCCAGGCCTTGTCCAGCACACACCTGTCGCATGCTTTGTCCATTAGGATTTGAGGTATTATTAGAAGATTGTTTTAAAATATTTCAAAAATATAATTTATATTAGGTATATTAAACTAAAGTTTAAATTATGAAACCGTTCATGTGATAACATGAATTCTTTCTCTGTGTGTGGTTTAGGATGTTTTTAACATCACCTACTCATAGTGGGAAGAAATACTGTGTTTTGGACAAAATTCTACCGACAACACAAATCTCCAACAACTAAAATTTTCTTTTTTTGAAATACTAAGGAAGGTTTTTTCTACACTGAGAGACCTTTTTGGGACTGTATAGAGGAACAACGTATGTGACAGCAGCTCCACTATGGTTTTGGTGTGCTTCGGTACAATTTTGGGTGCGTGACAGTCCAAAATGTTTGTGAGCAGCTCACCGAAGTAGTGCCTTTGGTTTGTAGCTGAACAACTTTTGGACTGTCACGCGCCCAAAATTGTACCACAGCAACCCAAAAGTATAGTTCTGTAGCGTTCCACCAAAATGGTCAGTAGTAGCCTATCGAATGTCTGATGCTGACCCAAAGGTCTCTCAGTGTACAAGCATTCACTGCTATTAATTTTTGCAACATAACCTCCAAAAATTAGATTCATTCAAATAGTGAGCGAAAGTTACCTATGGGGGATTTTACGCCAAGTGATCCAGGCCTCATGCGTTTGCACGTCATACTTTGGTGACTTGTATTTCTCTTTAAAAAAAAGATGTGAATTTCACAAAATATGTTTTGGAAAGGTTTTTAAGTGTACTTTTCAATGGATATGTTAGTTTTAAAAGAAACAATTTTTTTTGACCTTGAAAATTAAAAATTAATTTTAATTTCCATTTTTCTGTAAAATCGGTATTTTTTTAAAACTTTTTTTTATTTAGAAAGAAAGCTGAGCTTTTTTCCAATCGAAAACGTTTCTTCCCAAAGTGGGACTAAAATCATTAATAAATAAAAAATGACATTTTCTTTCGCAGTAAAACAATGACGCGCCGCGCTCTAGCGCGCTGATAATTAATAATAAAAGATAAATAATAATGAATAATTAAATAATTAATATTAGAATAGATATTAAATGTCAATTCAGTGAAAATTTTTAGAAAAATCTAAAAATTAAAAAATTTTGTTACAATTTCGTTATATTTTACTAGAAATATTTGATTTCTAGTGACTATCCACATGTTTTGAAAACTTTAAACTTTCCTTGAATTTTTTTTTTACATAAAAGAGTTTATAATCAGAATTAATTTTAAAACAAAATCTTCCATTTTTCTCTTATTTTTAACAGTAATTAAAATTTTTTGGAACAATTTAATTAAATTTTTAGTAATTATTAACATTCGAAGAACTTTCTCAGAATTAGTTGTTAAAAATAATTAATTTTGCAAAAAATTTTAAGTAGTAAATTCTAGAAAACTAAATTTTACATTTTGGAATAGATACATTTTCATAAACTTCAAAACTTAATTGACTTTAAAGTTTCAATTTTTACAAATATTTTATTAAAAATAATTAAAATAATTAAAATTTTGTAAAATATATTACGATAATAATATTCAAAAAAATTTAATTTTCAAAAGTGTTTAATAAAAATTTTAGAAAATAATTCATTTTAAAAAAAAAAATTAATTTCTACCAATTCAAAAATTAGTGTATTTGACGACAAATTTCAATATATTAGCCAAAATATCTCTCTATTTTAAAGAAACTTATTACTGTTCAAGGTAAAATTTTTTTCTTGCGAACAAATGTCAAAATTCTATAATTTGGAAAAACAGAAAAAAAATTTTTTTTCAGATTTTTCTAAAATTTTTTACTGAATTGACATTTAATATCTATTCTAATATTTAGTATTTAATTATTCATTATTATTTATCTTTTATTATTAATTATCAGCGCGCGAGAGCGCGGCGCGTCATTGTTTTACCGTGAAAAAAATGTCATTTATTAATAATTTTAGTCCCACTTTGGGAAGAAACGTTTTCGATAGAAAAAAGCTCAGCTTTCTTTCTAAATAAAAAAAATATTTAAAAAAATACCGATTTTACAGAAAAATTAATGTTACGGCCGAACTCCATAACTTTTTCATATTGTTAATATATTTTTTTTATTATACTTAAACTAAAATTACATGCAACAATTACACACAACATGAAGTTTTGTCAAATATTATAAACACATTTACACAAAAACAACCCTTTGTAATTACACAAAAGGGACATTCTTCTTTTCATATTTTTTAATCCAAAATATTTCAATCGCATAAAAATTTAGTTCTATTTAAATAATAGATTTAATGAAATTTAACATTTCTTTGAGTTTCACAATTTCAAGGTGAAAAACCTAAGAATATAACAGGGTATTTCTTAATAAATTCCTTTCTTGGACAAACAGTTTGTTGACCCTTTGAGAAATAGTTAGAAAATATAAAAGTAAATTGATCAATATAAGGAGTGGTGCATCCAAGTCACTGAACTCGGATCACGCCACTGCCTAAATCTGCAAGCTTGCAGAATTGGCTTGGCAACAATTGATTGAAAGACGATTTAGTGGCCACTAAATCGTCTTTCAATAAAATTGATTGACACTGGGAAATCTGGGCAGTTTAAGCGAGGCAAATTGGCCGTGTTGATCGTAAAGATCAGAGTTAAAGTTTGCATCCCTGAGCAAGGGATTTTCTCAAAAGTTATAAGGGTTTAATAAGAAGTTTGATCAGAAAAGTGCATTTTATTTGAGAATAATATAAAATAATTAAAGAGTAAAGAAAGGTTGATTTTAAAAGTTATATTCAAATATAAAAATAATAAAAGTGACAAGTGAAAAATAATTAAAGAATTGAAAAAGAATAATGAAAATAAAGTGAATAAAAAAATAAATATAAAGAATTTATGAAAGAGATATAAAATAAAATAATTAAAACAGAATATTGAAAAAGTCTAGTATCACCAAAAATAAAATATAAGTAATTCTTAAAAAGAATATTAATTTGAACATATTTTAAAGTCAACCTTTATTTACGGGGTTTAGATTTTGATAGTTGTGCAACGGAAGGGATACTAAATTTCATAGTTAAATATCAATCTAGTGAACCTAGATTAGGTATTTCTTTGGTTTTCCGGAGAAACAACTTTAAGTTTGCAAAGTCAGAACACTTCATTGGATTATTATTTCAAAGAGTTTGGATTACTAAATAGTGAGTATAAAAGTCTTACACATCATAACACATACACATTACTATTTCATTCACACGTACAGAAGTACTCTTTTTACACACATAAAATTAGAAATATTTGTATTAGGGACTTTTAGGTAAAATACATATCTTATTGTTACTATCTTAATTTTGCATTTTAATTTTAACATCCCTTAAATTTTCCTATCTTCTCTTTTTTCACAAGAGTAGGGTTCTCAACCTTTTAGTTGAATAAAAACTAAATAGAGGGGGAATCCACTACCTTAACAATTTCTTTTGTCCGAAGGACACGTGAGTTAAAGTTTTAAAAATTAATCTTTTAAAATTTAAATATTAAATTTCTAAATCCTACTTTAACAAACTGGTGGCAGCGGTAGGATTCTTTCTCTTTATTCTTGAGAAATAGAAGATAGTAAAAAAATCCAGAAAATAATTTTAAAAAATATATACATATTTGATTATACACACAGGGTTACACTATACACATTAACACAAAAAGGTTAAAACATATTATGAGATATAGATATATATTTATATGCATTGATTTTCTATTTTATAAAAAGTGTCTATATGTTTCTTCACAGGAGAAAATATACAAATTTAAAAAAAGTGTAGTAAAAGATATTTTTTTGTTCGCTAAAGTTGAACACAGGGAACAGTAACTACCCTTGCGACGGCAAGCTCTGGTTTCTTAAATAAACCACACTTAATTCCCTGACATAACCTTGCCGGAAGTGTGCAGCCACTTGGGCAAGTGAAGGGATTAAAAAAAACCGAAAAACAATATCGTGTAAAACAACGGTTTAAAATAAAAATTACCTTTTTTTAATTAAATAAAATCTTTTATTAAAAAAATAAACTATACAATTTTTTATGTTTAAAATAAAAAGAAATCAAATATTTAAAGATTTAATAGATAGAAAATCGCAAGTAAATATTATTAAAAAAAATTTATTATTTTAATATAAGTAATATAAACTGAAAAAAAATTGATAAACGAGAATTGACATAAAGAATAAAAACCAAAGAAGCAAATCGAGGTTCAAAGTTCGAAGAAACCCAAAAAAGAAGCCTCCGTCTTAAAGAGCATCAACGAAGATAAAATTCGGGAATTGACAAAAATTGTTTGCATTTTTAAAAACTTCAAGATTAAAATTTAATTTTTAAATCTGTTTGCATCCTCCGATTTCCTTTAAAAAATTCCAAAAAAACTACTTCCCTTTAGGCAAATTTTAAGCCTTGTCCTGTCGTGGGTATATGATTTTTACTATTTTTTCAGAATTTTTTTAAATTATGGAAATTTAGTATTTACTCATTCAGCCGCTGCATTATGCAACAAACTGATTTTACACGATTCAGTTTTGCCTAAAATAAGAGAAATTTCTACATAAAATAGTATTGAAATACTTAACGCGTTTCGCATGTCCTCTGTCGTGAGTTTTTGTTATGAAAACTTAGTGAATTATCTCAACAATCATACCAATGGCGTATATGTGATATAGACGAGAAAAAAGTATGGCTAAAGTTCATACTATACTATGCAGAAATTACCCTCAGTGTAATATCAATTAAAATACGATTCCTTCAAAAGTTTAGTGATCCAAAAGAATAAATTTTTTAAAATGTTATTTTATTGTTTTATAAAATTAAATAACAAATCTCAAATATAGGTTCTTGATCATAAATATAAGAATCATCTTAAATGATTTTTTTGTTATTGAATTAATATAATTTATTCTTTATGATTAAGGTTTTCCCCCTAATTAATAGATATTTATTTTCTTATCTTTCTTACATTGAAAAATTAATATTTTCCAAAAAAATG